GCTCAATGTCGAGCCTGCTTCTCATTCTATTTGAACAGTGATAAACAAGTACTATTCTGAATGTCAAGCCAGCTTCCCATTCCATCTCAACCGTAATAAATGGAATGTCGACCAGCTGAATGTTTGATGTCGATCTCTGTGCCAACTTCATAGACTTTAAAATTAAGGCATTACTTTTCCGGCAAAGAACTAAAATCTTAACCTAGTTTTACTTTGTTTCTCTTGAGAAAACAATATAGCATGTTAGATAGCGCAAGTTCTTTTAAAACAGATAAAAAGGTCAAGATTGTGTTTGGCGTAAAAAATTTCCGTATATGTACGATTCATAAATGAAGTCATAATTCCACCATCTCATCCTAAAAATATATATTATACGGAATATATTGCTTAATTAATTATGTTTAAATTTAATATGGTGTTCATCATCAAAAAAGATATACCTGAGGGAAAAATGAATTGTACCGAGTATGTTGAGTACGAATCTTATCAAAGTTTGTCCGTGGTGGCGTCTTCGATAGAATGCTAATGAGAACTGGCAATCGCAGCTTCTCGGCCCTTTCCCTTAATCTTCGGATAAGGACTTCAAACACAATAGTACGAATTCAGAGAACGGATACGGTATTTTTGTCTTACCTACGAAACTGATCATGTAAACAAGTATCAGCTAAATGGTGGGAGTTGTGACTTAACTTTATTTTAATATTTCGGGTTAAAGTATTAATAAAGAAAATTTATAGATATAGAAATAAACAGTATATCATTTATATTTATCATTCGATAGTACCAAATATCTGCTTGTTGATGTTAATTTGTTGTTTTTTTTAATTTATCTTTTTAATTATTCGTCAGCGGGATTTTAAATAAAGTATGATTTTCATAGATTTAGATTAGTTTTATTCTGGTAAAAATGCATGTCTTAAAACAACTACAAATTCAATGTCAACATAAAGAGATACATTTGAGCATGAAAGAGCATGTGTTGATGCCAAATATTCTATACCAAGGATGACAAAAAAGAAGGCATAAAACCATCTTATTTTCATTGTGATCCTTAGAAATTATCATATGTCACCAGAAAGGCAAAATAATGAGTATTATCAAATATTGCATATAAGTTATTCAATCACAAGTTTCTTAAATTCTTATACCAATTATTGCACATAAATAATAACATCATAAAATGTATCACACATGTATTATAAGCATAATTATGACAATGAATAGGTACTACTAAAACTATGCACTGAACATGACAAAATAAACAAGAAAATTCGTTGAATTTATATCCCCCGCCAAGTACTGCTTATTACAAACACCACAACTGGAGTCACAATGCTTTTTTACATGAATTATTTATGCCATGCAACTTTCCTTTCCGTATTGATGGTTCCCATGAAGTATTGTTGAAAACAGTCCGGGGGTTGAAAAGAAATAGTAATATTGCTCTATATGCATACTGCACAACTATTCAAGGGCCATAATTTAGTGTTAAAGGGTCTGACCAGAACAAGGCAATGATATGCGCATCTCCTCTTGGTATTGATGGTTCCCATAAAGTTTCATTGAATTCCAGCCAGTACTTGCACAGAAATAGCACGGAAACGATAATTGCTTAATATACAAACTTCATAACTAATCAAGGGCTACAAATCTGTGTTGAAGGGTTAGACCGGAACAAGGCAATAATATGCGCATCTCCTCTTGGTATTGATGGTTCCAATAAAGTTTCGATGAATTCCAGCCAGTAGTTGAACAGAAATAGCACAGAAGCAGTTATTGCTCTATATGCATACTGCACAACTTATCAAGGGCTATAACTCCGAGCATTAGTGTCTGACCGGAACATGGTGACAGTATGTGAATTTCCTCTTGGTATTAAAGGTTCCCATAATGTTTTGTTGAATTCCAGCCAGTAGTTGCAGAGAAGTAGCGCGGAAATGATTATTACTTTATATGAATACAGTATAACTAAATTAAATCAAGGGCCATAACTCTGAGATAAAGAGTCTGACCGAAACAAAGTGAAAATATGCGCATCTCCTCTTAGTATTGAAGGTTCCCATAAAGTTTCGATGAATTCTAGCCTGTAGTTACACAGAAGTAGCGCGGAAAGGATTATTGTTTTATATGCATGCTGTATAACCAATCAAGGGCCATAACTCTGAGTTAAAGGGTCTGACCAGAACAAGGCAACGGTATGCGAATTTCCTCTTGGTATTTAAGATTCCCATAACGTTTCGTTGAAATTTAGCCAGTAGGTGCAGAGAAGTAGCTCGGAAACGATAATTGCTCTATTGCATACTGTATAACCAATCAAAGGCCATAACTCTGAGTTTAAGAGTCTGACCTGAACAAGGCGATTATAACGCGCATCTCCTCTTGGTATTGATGGTTCCCATAAAGTTTCGTTGAATCTAGCTAGTAGTTGAAAAGAAGTAGCGGGAAACGAAATTAGGACGGACGGATGGAGGATGGAACTTCTAATGAGACAGTAATAATGTGGTTACTCTTTAATCACTCTATTGTTCTCTTAAGCCACACAAAAGAAAATAGCCACATAAAAGCACTACGAAATGAATGACACCATAGAGAAAGAACAGTTACCTATTGTCCTTCTAGCCACATTATTACTGTCCCGTGAGAGCGGACGGACGGACGGTGAATGCCAAAAGAACATTCTCTCCCGATTCCATCGGCAGGGGAATAAGTCCTTTAAGACATTTTTTTAAACCTATCACGACATGTTTTGAGCCTAAGATGTTTTTGTAACCTGTTCCATTCCTTACAACCATTACATACAAATGTTTTCTTTCCGAATTCCGAAACCATTAACTCTTGGAAAAGAATAACTGTTACTATCCCTTAAACGAGTAAGAGTGTACTTCATTTGCCAGTTGAAAGTGCTCATTTAAATAACTTGGTGCACTTTTATTGTGTATCTTATGTACATGACAACGAGTAAGGGAATTCACCCTCAGTTGTATTGGTAACCAACCAACTTCCTCAAGATGACCCCCCCCCAATATAAGTACGGTCTTTTTTGTAGATTTGGACTCAACCCAAAATACCAGGAGGCACATGCATAATCAAAATGACATTATACTAATGAAGAAACTAAAACTTGTTAAGTTTACCTATTCAAAATTAAACTTTTTCTATGAGTTTTTGCATTGGCCTTCTTAATTACCTGACCGACTCTATACTCACCAGATAAACGTTAATCTTAGTCAGCACCGATTTGGTGAATGTAATTGTAGTATCATTACATACAGTATTTAGTTGATCACACGACCTTCATCTTGGTTTAGACGCAAATAAAATGGACTTTTGTCTTTTCCAGATATAACGAAAGTTTATTATCGGTGAGCCACTTACACTACTGAGATCATCAGTAAGCTGAGAGGTAATATACTGGATGTTTTTACCTGATACTTAATTACCTGAGTCACAGCATACATATGTTATTTATTACGAACCATATCATTAACATTAATCAAGATTAGGAGACGACAAAGGATTGTACCATTTGGTACCCCACAAATAATCATTGGTACACCGGAGACATTGACCATTTGTGTATGGCTAGATAAGTAAGACCTAAACCAGTGAATAACATCACTAGAAAATTCCATAGCATCAAGTTTCATGAGAAAAATATCATGTTTGGCAGTGCCGAACGCCTTTTGTCAATACCAATGGCGGTTATTGTCAAACATAGTTTTAATCATAATTTTACCAAAATAGAGTTTATTTTCCTTTGGATGACATCACATATACAGTCGTTATTTATTGTCAAATATTATCCTCTCTGTTTGTGTTTACGTAGAAAATCACGTGTTTGAAATACTTCCAATCCGTATTTAGTCCGAGGTTTTTGTGAAAAATAGCCGAGGTGTGCCGTAATAACTGTAATTTTTATACAAGCGCTAAGCTAAAAATGGAGGATATATGAATCTTTAAAGAAAATCCAAAACGGCAAAATTGAAAATGTTGCAGGCTCGTTTGATTCAGCCTGTTCATGGACGGTACTGGAAAGTGAAAACAACTGCCCACACCCCTAGCACCAACATAAGCATAATTAAACATTTCTTAGAAAGGCCACAACCAAATTTATCGGCGATTTCTAAACGCCATATTTCGGCATAGGTATTAACGGCGTTAATACTTGCTTGCTGCTCGCCATTATGCGATAATCCCTATTGCTCAAGGTCTTATGAACATCTTCGGGCCATTTTCGCATAATTACGAGCAGCAATCAACTTTTAGCCTCTAAATAAAACCGTTATTGGTGATCTAACCTGCAACTGAAGCACAAGCAGATTTCTAAGATACGTTTATTATCATTACTGTACTGCTACTGCTGCTGCTGCTAGATACTGCTTCTGCTGCTGCTGCTGTAGCCTGGGTTCCAGTCTGTCGATTTTTTGTGATGTTTCTGTTTGGCAAATCGACAAACTATCAAAATGACGAACGAATTTAGAAAAGCGCATATTTTATTAATAAAGAAAAAAATGTTATAAATAAGCAAAAAGTATCAACGCCTGAATCCAAGGCTACTGCTGCTGCTGCCACTATCACCACTACCAACACAACTACCACAACTAATACTACCACCACTACTACTACTACTACTACTACTTCTACTACTACCACCACTAGACCGCCTCCGTGGTTGAGGGGTTAGAGTCGATGACTTCTAATCCAGTTACCTCTCTGGCGTGGGTTCGATCAATGTGTTTTTTTAAAAACTACTGGAAAAAGTTTATCTCAAAAAGATCATTAGCCGCAGATTTAATTCATTAACATACACGAGTGTTATCATTTCGCGACAATGTTCTGTATAAGCAAAATGAAAAATTGCCCGTACCTGGGACTCGCGAAAACGCTAATCGATTTCAATTGGACACAAGCATAGTAATTGATAAGAATGCGGAAGTGGCCAGTCCCGTCATTGTTTAGTCCCTGTGCGTATATATAAATGAAAATCAGCTTACGTTGGTCCACACGGAAATTTTGTTGACACAAGTAAGTAATCAACGATAATCTATTTAGGTTTCACCTTGATTTAAGGTAAGTTGAGTTTTTGATGATGTGATATGTATTTTAACATTTCATAAAAAAAGCGATTATTTCATTTGTTTTCCATAAATTACAAAAACATTGCAGATGAATTAAAACTTAAACCACGTTGACATATTTTAATTACGAAGTCATATACTTGTAAGAACTTATTTGTGTAAACAATTTTCTTTATACTGCTAATCTCTCTCGCGAGGTTTATAAGCAATAAGATAAGTGCACTTCGTATCGTTGTCAAAAGTGAGAAAAAAGTCGGTCCAGATAATTTTAACATGTCATGATAGATGCGATTGAAATAATATTCTAGTATTCTTGTTAATGTTTTAATACTATGAAAAAGTCAAAAGGTAAACAAGTGAAGAAACTGGGAACCAAACTAAGAGTGGAAGACCTGCTTGAACTGACCTTAGTTGGACAGGGTGGCAATGTAGTCTGAGAATTTCTTTCAAAGTATAGTCCTGTAGGATGATAAAGTTTGTATTTGTCAAAAACAGCTAGGTAGCGGAAACTGGTCACATGCAATGTACCGTAATATTTTGTTGTACTTAATTCCATGTTGTATTTTGTAATTTGTAGAGGTCAATTTATAAATAAATATGATGTTTTTCAACAAGAAATATATAACTTGAATTATTAATATATTTTGATGTCAATTTACTTTATTTACAGCCAGTAACCATGATTTTAAATAAAGTCATCGTAGGTGTTCTTTTCCTGGCAGCGTTTTGCATACCTGGGATGCTAGGTGGAAGTGGAAATAATTGTTGGGCTCCACCAATGTTCTATGGATACGAATGCAAGTACGTCATGTTTTATTTATAGCTCGCTCTGCTTTTTATCATACGGGACTTGAAAATTACCAACATATGCCTTAAAAGACACAAATGTGCAAATGTTTTAACAAAACTGAGCTAACGGTTTCGGACCTTCAGACAAAGTTTTAATGAATGTTTATGCAACAATTATCTTGACTAAGTTTCGACAAATTCAAATATTTCCAGTCCCGTCCTGTCAAAAAATATATTTCAGACATTAAATACGAGCAATATTATAAAAACTATTTTTGAATAGCATCTCAGAGATACAAAGATAATATTGTTGACCCAAGTGTAATTGAAACCCACAGTCGCCAGTTCCTTATTAAACGTTGATTCTAGTTTATTTAGAGAGGAGTTTGTACACTGCCTCTACATTAATTTCTAATACAATGTAAAACAATAAGTTTAAGTAGTTTATTTCTAGTTAATCAAGATAATAGAATTGTATTTTTTTCACAGGAGCTAAGTTAACTTATCACCAGTCAATGATCCGCAATTCCCGCGTCAGCAATTACATTTTTCGTAACTCTTTTAATGCAATACTCTTGAAAGACCAACTTTTGCGATCAGTGTAATATTGTTTTCATAACATAACGTTATTTATATTTTTTAGGTCAGACACGGCTTTATTTGGACACCCAGGCCATGAGATCGGGTATTTGATCAAGTTTAATGGGAATACGATGCTTTGCTGCAAAGCATTTTACTGCCCGAACGATGATTGCAAGCTTTATGATATCGGATGCAGCGCTAAAAGTTGGAGAACAAAACGGCTGCCTTGGGGAAACAATCTTGCCAAACCGTCACTACAATGCAAAGGCGTTTTTCTCGGGGCAGCTTACTCATTTTCTCACTAGAAATAACAAAGGCAGATTCAATTTCATGCGATGTTAATAAGTACTTTTTTGAAAAGTAGCAATAAAATTGCTTATTTTGTTTTACGAAAAGGAAATACTGATTTCACTATAACTTTTGTCATTTTTTTTTCAATTATTGGTTTAAAAGAAGTTTCCAAACTGAAACAAATTGTTCGCTCGAAGATGACACGTGGTGAATTTGAATACTTTTGAAATAAAACAATTCCTTTTATTTCATATTCATTCATTATTATCATTATTATTATTTATTTATTTATTTATTCTTAACCCACCCGCATCCCTTTACATACATGATCAAAACCTTTGGATATTTTTTGTTGGATTTATCGTCGCACCTACACTGTTATGGTCATATGTCGACTTTCCAATTCTACTGGTGGAGTAAGACATCGGGAGCCGCTCCGTCAATGTTTTTTTTTTCAGGCACGAACACCATAGTAGAACCACCCTTGTTCCGTAAGTTAGCTGGATAGCTAACATGAAAAATACCTTGCAGAATTAACACTTTCTAGTTCACTTCCTTAAACCCACCAACACTGGTGTCATGTGTAGAAACAATTTCGTATCCCAAGTAGGACTCGAACCCATGATCTCTGGGTGGAGCGGCATACACCTTAACCACAAGGCCACCACTCACCTTTAATGCAATTTTAAATGTAATTTAATGACTTATATACGACTAAAAACCGTTCAATACATCAAGTGTGTCCTCATTCTCTATAGCGCTGTTCACCACAAAAATAAAGGTTTTTTTAGAGCGCCGCTATTTTGCATAATTATTTTGATATTTATTCTCATTTATATTTTATCAATTTTGTTGTGAAAGTTCAAAGACATGGTACAAGACAATAGCGCAATTACGCACTATTTAAATGTCATAAAATACTTAAAATATTTTTATTATAAGAAATCTAATATAATTCAAACTTGGCTAAAATGCAATCATACAAAATTTATTAAGATTGTATTCATATTAATTAACAAAATTAAAGCAGCATGCCACAAGATACATGCATAAAATATTTTGTGAAAGGAACAAAGAGTATAATTTACATATTACAAACGACACAATCAATCCACTTTCATAACTTTAAAGAGGAAAACATGTGCAAAAATAGCCCTTACTGCATTAGTCATGCAATATAAAAATATATACAGCAAATAACACATAACGTGTAACTTATTACTTGAATCGTTTTATGTTCTTATTTGTTTTTACTTTTCATAAAATCTAAGTACGTTTTTCTCAATTTTGTTTTTTTTGCAATAGTTTGGCTCATCTGGAGGTATGCAACCTTACGCTCTGCAGATAAATCAGAATTTTGACATTTGACTAACGTTCAGATTTATTAACGCGACAGTTGATACGATTTTAATGACGCTTAGTCTAAGATAAAGAAATCCGAAAGAATTAAAGCTGAAGATTAACAAAACAGGAAAAAAACAAGAAACAGGATGAAAGGTTTTCAGTGAACGTACATAATTATATATTAAATAACGGCTAATATTGCCTCTTAAGGTATTAACATTTCCTGAGTATAACACCTTAGAATAAGAATAAAATTATCTTTATGGCTCTTTCAAGCTGAATATAAAGCACATTGAATACACAACAATATAGTATTCGTAGAAGACAATAATGCATCTTATTATAAACAAGAAATTCTTTTTCAACAAATGCCATATTTTACAAATATATACAGTTTAACAGTACTTTAAATTGAACTGTGATTTCTTTTTTAATTTAAGGTTTGAAAATCTAACTGCATTCAGAAATTCTACCTTTTATATGTATGTGAGATTGTGACATTATAAAACAAGCTTATATAAATGGCCTGGCAACTTACGCCAGTCAAAAACTTTTTTCTGGCAAAGCTTTTAACCTATTAGCTGTTCAAATTGCATATCCCTAACCGTATCAAATGTAATAAATGTAATCATATTGTATTAATTAGACCAAAGGCAAGTGTTGAGTGTAAAAAGGTCTTTGAAATCAATGTATCTATCTATCTCTATCTATCTATATAACCTCGGAGTTAATACGGATCGAAAGTAGTTCTACCACGTGGTTTCAGATGTTAACCTAGACAGAGAGTGAAATCTTCGTTAATGTAAAACGAATATATATATATATTTGAAATTCAAAAGAAAAGAAAAGAAACTGTTTCGGTACAATTATGATTAAAAATATGTCTTACAACCATTTTTAATTTAAATATGCCCACTGATGTACAATTTTTAACAAATACGACTCAATATCAACAGGTTGGCCTTCTGTACCTTCGGTTTCTACAACCATAATAATAAACACTATATTCAAATAATGTATGTTTGCTTTTGTATCTATGAAGTCACTTATTTAAGGTGGACATTTACTCGATATATTGGAAATAAACTTGTCAACAATCCCCAGCATTAAATTACTATTTGTGTACATGTCTAATTCCTTAGCGTAGGTTAGACCGAAATACTTATCCTTTCTGTGTATGTACACTATTGTGTTTGAGGTCCAGGCTTGAGGTAATGATACTTGTAATGGTAATGCAGTAGGAATGCATTACATTTCTTGGGAGTAATGCAATGTAATGATACTGCATGCCAATTTGCATTACTTGTAATGGTACTGGTATACAAAATTAAGGTAATGAAGGTACATTACTATGCATTACTTTGCATTACATTGCATTACTTTGCATTACTTCACCAAACCTACTACATCATATATGTTATGGGTGATCCAAAGAACACAAGATAGAATCGCGATGGCCTAACTCAGTCAAATAAAATACAAGTAAAATTGTTTCCTGCGGTGAACATTTAATGATATAAAAATATTTCATTTCACTATTTTCAACATTATTTGGGGGGGGGGGTAAATAAACGTTTGTATCAGGAATATAGTTGACAATTGAATAAACGATCAATATAGAAGAAACTGTAAACTGGTGGCCGTTGAAGACCGGAGAAGGTCGAACATAAAACAATTATTTCTTTTTAAGAAAATGATTAAATAGGCCTATCATTTTATGAATAATTCCGAGCAAAAAATAAATAAAGTAAACACACAAGTTTACGCAGAAAATATCTCTATTTATTATGGCAGATGCCACTACGAATATTTTAATTTTGTAGATTTTTAGTATAAACAATTTATTGTTTGTAAAATTTGAGATAGATATTAAAGAAACATTGATAATTTTCAAACACATCATTCAAGTTTTTCCACCTTAAACGGTTAAATAATTATAGAAAATTAGAAATATCACGTAATAGTTTTTTGTTCTTAATTAGGGGTAATTCGGACTAATTCCCTACAGGTAAATCCGTAACGTACCGGCAAACGGTATTTAGCTAAGATTTGGAAGAGGTCAATTAACCAATCATGTACGGTTTACAGATCACATGCTCCTCCATGTACCGAAAACAGGTCACGTGCTCCTCCATGCCTCAACAGTTAAACGCGTACCAATACCCTGCGGTCTCCAGACCGCAGGGAATAAAGTCATGAAAAAACTATGTCCCCTCGCACTTATATGTCTGCACCGATTTGTAACATTAGTATCAATTGAAGCATTTATTGTACTTGCAGGCATGTACATTGTTCAGTGTAGAATGGAGATTAATTGATGAGTTTTAGTTCACCAATTTTACAGTTAAATATCAATTATTATAGACCTGAATAAATTGAGTGAACACTAACCCAAGACCGTTACAATTTCTTTATAATAGATGATAAAGCTCATGGTCAATATGATATTTACAGTGTCAGTTTTTGAGACGGTTGTCATTGCTGAAAATACTTTATAGAAAATGGGTTGGGCGGACCATTTTGTCTTACCTGACTATACAGATGGGAATTTAAAGACAAAGTTCATGCATTGTTCTTCCATGATATCTGGTAGTATGTGTATCTCGTCAAACGTTCTAAAGCATTTAAAGGTATGTACAAAATTTATTTTGATTTCAGTCATATTTGACAGCATATAACCATTGACTGTTGTCATAGAAATGACATGTAACCAATCTGATATTTTGTACACCTTTATGAAAAGTCCAGTTACCAACCACAACCCTTTATGCAAGATAAAATTTCTTTTTGACACTTGCCTTTGTTTGACCATTGGGCACATTAGCACCTTTTTGGAGTTTTCATTGTTACATTATGTCAAGCTCCCATGTGCCAAACTAATTATCACGAAATGCATAGTCACTATTACTGACTTAAAAAACAATTATATGTAAATTCGGTTTGGTTGTATTTTTATTTAAAGGTAAAACACGGAGATGAATATCTTGAGTCGACTAAGAAGGTAGATAATCAAGCAAAATCACAACATTTGTGCAAGAATCCTCTTCATCTTCTAAAAAGTATACTCTAAACAACCCTAAGCAGTTAAAAGCCATAAAAACTTTTCTTACATAGCTGCCGACCTTGTACCACTCTCCAATTTCCATATACTTATATTACGACTGAAAACTCTTTGAAAGTGTCTCATATATATTAAGAAATTTAATAATGTATGTAAACAAATGTACATGATTAGTTTGATTTTTTTATAAATATAAGCTACAAAAACATCTTAGCTTGGAAAATAGAAATTGTCTTATGCTCAAAAGTAATGGTAATGATACTGAATTATTTGGTCCAAGTAATGTTAATATACTGCATTACTTGCCCAAAATTTAAGTAATGGTACTGATACTGGACCAAACCCCAAAGTAATGGTAATGGAATTCATTCCTTTTGCAAAGTCATAGCCCCAAGCCTGTCGAGATCCTTATCCGAAGACTGACGGAAAGAGTCGAATAGTTGCGATTGCCTAGATTATCAAATTACATACCCCTATCCTAAATCATGCTCAACAATATTTTGATTAAATTAGACATTCATTTAACTTCAAAACATTACGGTTTGTATTCTACACATTAACAAAAAGTTTTTTTTGGAAAACGAAGAAAATATTTATTAATAAGAGTATAATTACAATATTTACGTTAGATTGTAACAACATCCCTATTTTAATACATTTACTTAAATTTATGCTACGTAATGGTTTTGAAGGTATTAAATTTTGTGGAAAAGGTTGTTTTTTAAGTTATTAGTGATACAACTTGCAGATGGAATGTAAGGGAGAATATAGCCTAAATGACATAAATATGACCCGAGGCGCTAGTCGATGGTAGCATCATCAAAGCTATATTCTCCGGTTTATCATAAGTACTTGTATAACAAATTTATAATAACACAAATTTGTTTTTGACAAGTTCGTCAGAAAACCAAGCAGCTAAATAAGATGACGTAGGACGTACAATGGCTACGCTAGCGCCTGTCGTATAACGGAGGAAGAACTCACGGATGTTACATACTTTTAATATACAAATACAAACACACATGTGAACGAGTTGAATACCAAAACTGAACTCCCTCTCTGACATTTGAGAATAGTATATATAATATCAACCTGTCCTAAGGACATTTTATAATGTATATAAATACACACGTTTTAGAGTTACATATATAAATCATTTTGACATAAGCTAGTCCGCATGCATCCTGAACTATAATACTCATAAATCATGTCATGTTCCATAGTGCACATTATGAAATAAAAACCTTAATATATGTATATACATGTTGACTTGTCATTCTTTTTGAATATAGCGTGTATGACTCATTAGCCTGTGCAACCAGCTATACGACAATTCCTCCATTACTTATAAAAAAAAATATTTAAAAAAAAAAAGTATTGAACAAGTTATTATTTAATATCAAACATTTCAAACTCGTTCTAACTAATTATAAAAATCTAAAATCAACTTGACATCTGTTTTACCCTTAAGGTAATATCCGGTCAGAGATGTCCGGTCAGAGATGTTATCTAACGACTTTTGTTACTTTATTTTGAAAAAGAAAAACGCCTTAGGAAACAATATTCGGAAATATTCGCTCAATATATTTTCTTGTCACTTTTTAAAAAGTTTTCGGATACTGCAGTCGGGTAAGTTATAATTTACTTCAACAATTTTGTAATGTTTTTAATAAGTAAAAAAAATAATTATTGTTAAATGTAAAGATAATCTTTTCGAAATTTTTAATCAGTTAATATAACTGTTATTCTACAAATAATATTAAAGTGACATAAGGTAAATATTATAGCTTTATAAGTTTTTCAATAAATATTAAATTTCCTTTATTTCATCATAAAAAAATAAAAAAAGTTAATTTCTAGAGATCAAGAAAACATAAAAAACAAACAAATAAGTTAACAATATTCAAAGAACAAATTATTTTAAGAATATTAATTAGAAAAACTTTAAGGTATAAAATTTAACAGAATTATATGTATTTTGTGCATGCGCATTGAACACTTCCTGTGACACGTATATTTTTTGTAACAGGTACTTGCTGACATCAGTATGGCTTGGTCTTCGTGACGTGTCGGGAATTTCAAATCGTTGGTATGTAGCTTTCTAAAGAATAATTTTAAATTGACACTCATAATTGTTCATAAATGTTTGATGTTCTTGAAGATTCTTTTAAATTAATATATATGTATTTGATATGTGTAAACGTAGACTTTATACACAAGTTGATAAAGTTATAAAGTGATATTCGAATATTTATTGGCACATCTGTAAACGCTGTTCTTGTTTCGTAGTTGTAAAAAGAATGTCTTGTATTGAACAATACAACAAAGTGATGATAGATCTATAATTCTTCATTTATGTAGCAACGTTTTTGAGTAAAAGATAATTAAATTAACAGTTTGCTGTTGCACGATTCTCGCAAATGTTTATGTGATATTTATTTTGGATATCTCTGTCGCGCACAAATAATTATTTTGATAAGAAGTTGTCATCCGTATTTCTCTGGGTTTTTGTTTTTAAGTTTATTTAACACATAGAAAAACACATTCTATTGATAAACGGAAGTTTTCGGCTTCTCTGGTTGAAGACAGGAACAAAAGTTTATTTGATTCCACAATTTTGTTGTTGTTGTTGTTGTTGTTGTTGACGGCTGTAACAGTATAGTTATGTATTTTAAACATCGTAGACGCTTATTTCATATAATTTTACATCGAAGAAGGGGTTTATGGTTATATCTGCATGGTTTTACATCGAAGAAGGTGTTTATGGTTATATCTGCATGGTTTTTGTTGTACATAGTTTGACATCGTAGAGGCTGACTGTAATATTTCTAGTCAGGCGGTGTTTTACTGTACCGGCGAATTCGCTCGCACCTCTCTGTCTTGGCTGGACGACAAGTGATCGTTAGACCAATATTTTGCATTTTCGTCCGTTGTCAGATCGGTTAATAGATATTATATACAATAAACATAATTTTGTTTCAGATATATGAACAACAAGACAACTGTCATGAAATGCATAGGATAAGAATTCCAATGAAAGATGTTCTCTAGTGTAAGTATCTTATTTATGTAATACTTGATATTTAAAAATTTTTTACTTTTCTAGACATATTTTGTTAGTTTTAACTAAGCTATTAACTTTAGTTTATTTCGACAATAAGACTTATCCCAATTTAAACTTTATTTAATGATTGTGCGTTGACAGTTGAAACATGTATGTATACACATGTTATTCTAATATGAAATAAAGTAAATAATCAATTTGAAACTCATGATTAAGTGCTGTCATTTACTTTGAAATGCATTTAAATTAACCGATCTATTAATAAACATAGAGCGAATAACGATCATTTTAATCAATAAAAAAATCAAAGATATATATTTCTAATAAAAGCAAGTTGAAACTTGATATAAATGAATACAACCACCAAAAATATAAAGATATATGATTAAATAATGTAATTTCCTGTTTTGTTTTATTATCGTTTTTTGTAACATATATATTTTTTTTCTTTCTATAATAACTATTTACAATGCCTGAGGTCAATTCACCGAAAATTAGTATAGCATATAACACGGAATATAACGTTCTATAGCATACTGGCTAATCCTTGTAAAAACATTTTAACATTCGGTTTCAAGCGTTTATTATTACTATGTACCTTTGTGTTTACCTTACCAGATACTTTATATCGTGGTTTTACAATACTTTTCTTTTTAGTAGAAACAGAGTTTATAATCATCTCATTATCGGAATCATTATCATCAGCCATTGAATCTGACTGAATAGCATTATATACTGCTTGTGACTGAGGATTGCTATTTACTTGTATGGAATTTGAGTCTGATAATTCTGAATCAGTCTGCGATTGCATTTCTTCTGAATGTACATTACTTTGAGCATTTTCATTATTTGAAATTTGTTGTTGTTGTCGAAGATGTTTCTGTAATTCGGCTAATGGAATATCATCTTCACTATCAGAATTTGACCTTTCTTTTCTTACATTCTTAGCAACTTGGGGTAATACTGATTCTGGTATTTCTGAAGCATCATCAGTATCGCTATTTTCAGGTGTAACTACAAATGTGGCATTTCTTTTTGGTCGGCCAGTATCATCTGCTTTTGGTATTGACCAGTCATTAATATTTGCAAGCCTAATTTGTTCTGCATGGACTTTAACTGTTGAATTGTCAAATTGATTTTTTATTATATAAGTTAATGGTGACCTTTTTTCCATAATTCTATAAAATGGCTTCCAATTCACATCTAGTTTGCTTCTTTTACGAAAATTTTTATAAAATACGGGATCGCCTATTTCAAATTTGATATCTTTTGCGGTCTTATCTGCATAGCTAGCTTGTTCGCGTTTTGCTTTTTTAAGGTTTTTATAAACAGATAGAAAAGTATTATGTTGTTCTTGTAATGCAATTTTGTGATACTCTTCGCCATGATAGCGCTGCCTTGGTTGTAGCAACAGGTCGACGGGTAATATGGCCTCACGGTTATATAACAAATAAAATGGACTATGCTTTGAAGTCCTAGAGACATTGAATCTAAGTGCGGCTAGTGTCATGTTAAGATGAATATCCCATTGTTTGAGATTTCCCTGAATTCTTTTAGCTAAGATATCATGTATGACATGGTGAGAACGTTCATTTTTCGCGTTTCCGGCAGCATGATAGGTAGTTGTACGCACGTGATCAATTCTTAACTCTTTAAGTGTTTCTTTGAAAGCATTACTTGTGAATTCTGATCCATTGTCAGTGACAATTTGTAATGGACATGCGTATCTAGGGTAAATTTCTTCTAAAAGTAAATGTATAATTGTATCAGTACTTTTGTCAGCAGTAGGAAAACACTCGGGATAACCACTGTAAAGGTCAATAAAACAAATAATGTAGCGGTTACCACTCATTGTTTTTTCATATGGCCCAATAACGTCGATACTCATGGTCTGGAATGAATACATTGGTACTCTTGTTTCGCCCATAGGTGCTTTTATTTTTGTAAGATTACGTGACTGACAATCAACACATTTAGAAACATATTCATACAATTCTTTGAACATATTTGGCCAAAAATATTTTTGTTTTATTGTTGTAAATAACCTCTGTGTTCCTGGGTGACCATTATTTAAATGATATTGAGTAATGACAAGGTGTTTTAAGTGTTGCGGAACAAACAATCTAAGATTAGGATTATCATCTACATTTGACAGATAATAAAGAACTTGGTCAATTTCTAAATATTTGCTCTGCACTGATTTAGTTGGCTGTCCGTGACGTAGTAACATTTTCAGTTCAAGAATAGTTTGATCTTTATCTTGCTCTGAGGCCATATTTAATTTTTCGAATTGTTTAATATCTTCTACAATTGGCTCTTGAAATTGGTATTCTTTGTTTGCTATTTCTTTGGCATTAAAGTGCGTAGAATCAAAAGCATTTACTTCATAGCTTTCATCAGTTTTCACAGCATGTACATTATCATTATTTGAATTATTACTTGAATTTGAGACTGTTATTTCGAAGGCATTGTCATTTATATCAGGCTCATAAAGTTCAATATCGGACTTGTTAGCATTTTTATCATCAGCTGGAGGTCGAGAAAAGAAATCGGCAATTAAATTTAATTTTCCTGGCAAATATTCAATTTTACAGTTATAGGCAGAAATATTTAAAGCCCAAAGCTGAATTCTTTTGTTTTGCATAGGTGCTTCTAGAAGATATTTTAAAGGTTTATGGTCTGTAAATATAGTTAACTCTGCATTATGTAAATAAACATCTAATTTTTGTAACGCATAATGAATACTGAATGCTTCTTTTTCTATGGTACTATACTTTCTTTGAGATTCACTTAATTTATGAGATAAGAAGTATATAGGTTTTTCAATACCAGATTTGTCACATTTCTGACTTAAACATGCTCCGACCACTAAATCTGAGGAGTCCGTGTATAGAATATAAGGCTTATTTGGGTCTGGGAATGCTAAAAGTGGAATACGTGTTAACATTTTCTTTAATTGTTCAAAACTTTCTTGACATTCTTTTGTCCATTTAAACAAAACACGTTTTCTTGTAAGATTGATTAGAGGTTCAACAATTTTAGAATATTTAGGGCAAAATCTTCTATAAAAACCAGCAGCACCAAGTAAAGATCTGACATCTTTAACACATTTTGGTACCGGAAGTGACCTAATAGCTTTACTTTTTCTGGTCTGGTTTTATACCTTCATGATCAATTATAAAACCAAGGTACTTTGTTTGTTGCTGAATAAAACTGCACTTTTTCAGTTTAAGTTTTAATTTATGTTCTTTAAGCTTTGAAAATACTGTCTGTATATGTGATAAATGTTCATTTAATGACTTCGAAAATATTAGAATGTCGTCAAGATAACTGACAGCAAATGCCTCTAAACCTTGTAAGACATGTGACATGAGTTCTTGGAAAACTCCAGGGGCAGAAACTAGGCCAAAAGGGTTCGGTTGAACTCAAACAAGCCTCGGAATGTCGTAAAAGCCGTTTTTTTCCTTGTCTGATTCATGCACGGGTATTTGCCAAAACCCTGATCGCATGTCTAGTGTTGTAAAATATTTTGAAGACCCTAGTAGAGTTAAAATATCGTCAATTAATGGGAGAGGATATGATGTTGGCTTTGTAATTTATTCAATTGTCTAAAATCAACACAAAACCGTTTACTGCCGTCACGTTTCCCGACAATAACAACAGGAAATGAATAAGGGCTATGACTTCTTCTTATAATATTAGCATCTAACATCTCATCGATTGCGTCACTCATAAATTTTCTATTGTTTAAAGGTGTGCGATATGGGCGTAATTTGATTGGAGGATGATTACCTGTTGGTATTTTCATGGTTACAGTATCTGTCTGTGATAATTCAGAATCTTTATTTTGCGAAAATATTTCTATTTTTCCTTAATAAGTCTCTAACAATATTAAAATGCTCTGAAGGTGTATGAATATCACGTTCGAAATCGTTGTAAGAGGGGAAGTTGTTTGAAGAGCCTCTGTGACCGAGTTAATGCTCTCAACTTCTGAAACTTTAGCAACTACTGAATCTCGTTTTAATCTTATAGTTTTATGCGTATTGTTGACAATCATAATAGGAAATCTTCTATCAGCCGAAAGTTTCATAACAGAATTTGTTATCATAAGACCTGGTTCAGAAGCAATCATTCCAGTTTCTATACTTTTTAATTCATATATTTTATCATTTTCCAATCCTGGATTTTGTTTTAATTTAGCAGTGCACACATTAACTGTTTGAGGTTTCAGAATAACATCCTGTTTTAATCTAACAATTGATGCAATATGAATATCTTCTTCGAGGGGTACATATGTATTATTAACTCTTAAGCAGCCTAAATCAAAATATAATCTAACGCCATTTTGTGTTAACCAATCACGGCCTAAAATAATATTTCTATTCATTTTAGAAACAACATAGAATTTTTGAGTTGTTTCTGTTTTCCCTATTTGAAAATTTAGATTTATATAACCATCTATATGTAAATAATTTCCGTCAACTGAACATAAATTTATTTTCTGTTTTATAAGTTGAGGGGGATTCTTCAATTTTCTATATATTCTGCGATGCAGAAGACAAACTTCAGCACCTGAATCTACTAACGATCTGTATCTATAGTTTTCTATTTTTAATCAAACACGAATTAGGGCTTCCAGCTAATGCTATACTAAATTTTGGTATTTTATCGTTCCTGTCAATGACCCCTTTGTGACAGGAACTTGCTAGTTTTCCTGAAAATTTATCTTGTTTCTGTCGTAAAAATTTTGTTTACGACATTCACGCATAATATGACCAAAATTATTACATTTCCAGCACTTAATCTTTGATTTCAAACTATTATTGCTATTATTTTTCCTAAATCGTGAAAAATTTTGTCGGTGAAATACAGAATATATTTCATTTTTCCTAAATCTACAACTACGAACATGGTGACCTGGTCTCTTACAGTACACGCAAAAATTTCTTGTATAATAATGATTAGAATTATTTGCTCTGTAATTATTGTATTTTGCGTGATTTTGAGAATTAGAAAATTTTACTCTGGCAGAAAATCTAGCTCTGAAATTCTGTTCATTCATTGCGCAAGTAATTGCTTCTTGTAATGTTTTTGGCTTTTCTCTCATAAGTTTAAGTTTTAAATAATTATGCGCTAAATTATCCGTAAACAATTCTACTAACTGAAGTTCAATTAAACTATTATCTCCTAGTTTATAATTTTCATAAGCGGTTTCAGCACAATTAATAAATTTTTCCCCAAAAATTTGCACACTTTCTCCAAAATCTTGTTTTAAATTTCTCAAAAGATAAAATTCATGATGTAAATCTTTAATTTCCCCAAATCTAGTACTTATTTCTTCTTTTAATTGTTTCCACGAATGACGAGGATTATCACGCAAATATCTACATATAAAATCGCTTACAGTCCCTTTACTTGATTGAAATGCGACTAATTTTATTTTATTATCATCCAAACCTTTTAAAATAGCATATTTTTCTATAGATTTTATCCAGTCATTAAAATATTTAGAATTTCCATCAAAATTTTGTACTATTTCTGATAAACCCTGTGTACCTATGACAGTTGAAATATTGTCTAATCTATCCGACAAATTTTCAAAAATTGTAGCTATATCTTGATCTGACATCTTCAAAATTAGCAAATTACAGGTATATAAACGATCACTCACCTTTAATTTTCTATTTCAGGTACTTCGTTGTGTCCCGCTGTCCAAAATCGTCGCTTCGACATCGCTGGTCTTAGGCGCCAAATCAACCGTTGTCGTATAACGTAGGAAGAACTCACGGATGTTACATACTTTTAATATACAAATACAAACACACATGTGAACGAGTTGAATACCAAAACTGAACTCCCTCTCTGACATTTGAGAATAGTATATATAATATCAACCTGTCCTAAGGACATTTTATAATGTATATAAATACACACGTTTTAGAGTTACATATATAAATCATCTTGACATAAGCTAGTCCATATGCATCCTGAACTATAATACTCATAAATCATGTCATGTTCCATAGTGCACATTATGAAATAAAAACCTTAATATATGTATATACATGTTGACTTGTCATTCTTTTTGAATATAGCGTGTATGACTCATTAGCCTGTGCAACCAGCTATACGACACGCCGTGCATTAAAAATTAATTTCATAAAATAAATTCATCATAGCTGTGTAAATTATTACTATTTTTTAAATAATAACATTTGAATCGAGAATATTTCACAAAGAATAAAACACAATTATAAATATAAGGAACACAAGTCTAGGATGAAGAAAAATCATTGTTATTTGCTCCGGTTCGTAACGGTATATAGGTATCGTATACAAAGTGTTTAAGCTGATCAGAATACGAGACATTTATTATCATTGTTATAAAATGTTATATAAGATAGCATAAATTAAAGGAGGTTTCCAAGATAACCATGATATTTAGATTATTTTCCACTTTTTCCGTATTTTTTTTCCAGATGGTTCTCCTCTTCATAGATTTGTAATTGGTTTTCATCATTTACAGATGGGTGGCAGAGAAAATGTGAATAGGATTAGGAAATATAAAACATCAGATATATGCGACAATTAATATATATGTTTAATGCAAATTAATATGAACAGTTTGACACAATATCGCATTTTCCCCATCACAACGTTTTGGTTTATTAACTTTAAATTTGCCAATTAATGGTTAACAGCAGTAAGGAAATGCAACTTGTAGAAGACTTAAAAAAAAATAAGGATCAGACATAAAACAGTCTCATACTTTTTAAAAGATATTTGCATTTCAGTCATTTTTCGCTGTTACTAAATATAATTTTATAAAGTGATATGACAGATATGTTTGTATTTTGTTAACACTAGGTGCTGTCATTATAACAATCTGGATGGATCTATATTGATATTTCCAACATTACCACAAGTTACAGCGTGATCATGCCCTAGATATATATTACATTGTTTTGGGTAGATAAACTGTCTAGTCCGTATATCCTAGGCCATTACTGCAGAAAACATATTGCTCTCTTAGGCAAAACCGTCTGCTGTACAACATTTATTGTTGACGTTAAACATGAATTTCCTGTTAAGGGATCATTATGTGCTGATAAACAACTGAAAGCAATTGACTTTTTCATAAGTTATATCGTAATATGATAAATATGAACATAACAGGAACACGTACTCTTATGTTTAATATCAGCTTTTTTTTAAACGTACCAAACGAACAAAAAGTTTAGATATTTTCTTTAAACTTTTATGAAGCTAAATATGGAATTGTTCATCAAACCCTGTCATCACTTATTTGTGAAAATTTTCCAAAATAGGTTACTAGGTGAATAGCGATTTGTGAACGGATATGCTGGTAATCTTGGTCTGCACTAGACACGTGAGTAAAAACTGTTACCGCAGTATGCAAAATGTTAATTATTATAGACTATAAATAATCCAACTCATACGAAACTGTTTAACTTGAACTGAATTTAAACTTTGTAATTGTTGGATGAAATTAAACTTTAATTATCTAGATTGTGGTTTTTTAATAATATCTTAATTAATCTTATGTGTTTTAATTGTTATTTATCTTTTTTGTTATTAAAAATATCTGGTAACAAAAACTATAATGTTGTTTAAGTATCTTTATGCATTACAATGAAAAACAGTATATCTCAACGTCACAGCGAATTCGCGAAAAGATCACATGGCAAAATACCTATTTTTACGGGTGGGGAGAAGGGGTAAATGTACCAGCTTTAAACTCGGGTAATATTCGTGTTTGGTACTATCGACCTTACTGCTAGGTAGCAACTGGGTGGCTTTAATCATGTTTAAGTATTCAAACGTCACTGACCATGATGGGAATTAAAGGGTCGCCGCAGACTTTATCAACTGGCCATGATCGCCTCTCCTTTTTGCAGATTTACATGTTTTCTTTTTTGTTTAAAAAAATTTGACAAAATAAATAATAAAAAAAATAAATTTAAAAAAAAAACCCAAAAAATTTCACACTTTATAGATAAATGTATTCTTAGACTTGTCACCAGCGATAAAAGATTCTTTCTGTTTTTACACAATAAGTGAGCTTTTGGGGGAACATTATCTGTGTATGAAATCCCAAGACACACCAAAGAATTTCAAATGAGTCAATGAATCTTTCTTACACTTTTATTTTATGCTCTTAATGCTTAAAACAAATGTTACATTTTCTTCGCATTTGGTCTCGAACATCGTAACATTGACTTGATAATTTAATTACATTACTGTTAGGAATACTTTTGTCAGTGAGGGAATATTAAAATGAAAATTGAATAAAAGCTTTCCGAAATGTCGTGGACGAACTCATTATGTCAATATCTGACGTATAAATATTCATTAAGTTTCAAAAATATATAGATTACAATATTATACTGAATTGGTTTATTAAACATATATAATGGCTCAAAGATAACAAAAACTAAAACAAAAATTTAAATTGTATACCATTTTTGAAAAAAATTTAAATGTTGATTGCTTTTTTTTTTAAAATTTTGTCCACCCTATGTCCCATATTTTTTCCCCTCTTTAAAATATTTTTTATTTTAATTAATTTTTAAATCAAAATTGAATTTTATGGGAAAAGTATATGGTTTAAAAAAGTGTTACTTAAAAAAGGAAAATAAAAAGGGCCCCGCACAGGCCGATTGTTTTTTATTTTTTAATGGAGATGTGTGATTTTAAAATTTATATAAAGTATCGGGAAAAAAGTGGCCCAAAAATACTTAAAAATTAGTGTTTTTCAAATGTTTTTTCGAAAAAAATTTAAAAATTTTTATATAACGATATTAGTAATTAAAAAATTTAAAAAATGCTAGGCTGTAAGTGGTTTACAATTATTAAAAAAAGAATATTTTTAGACGGATCAATTTTTGCCCCTTATATTTTAAAAATGTTTAAAAAAAAATTTAATTTAATTTAAAAAAAAAGTATTGATTTTTTTTCCCTATTAAATTTTATATATATATAAAATATAAAAAATAAATTTTTAAAATATATGACCCATAAAAAACCGGCTTAATTTAAACAGATATTTTAAAAATTATATGTTTGCATTCCAAAATATTAAAAAATGGCAAACAAATTTTTTTAAATTTGGTTTTAAAACCAAAAAAAAATAAAAAGGGGCAAAAATTTTTCATGTATACGAGGGGTTAACCAAAAATTTTGACTTTTTAAATTTTTCTTGAACGTTTAAAGTGTTTTAATGAAATTTTATCCATACATTGGGAGAATATTATCAAACATTTTTGAAAGGGGAAAATAATTTTGTCCCCTAAAAAATGATTTTTTTATTGCTTTTAAATAAGGATACACGGCACCCGGCGCACGGTAGAAAAACGCAGTAAGTCATCGAATATTTCTTGCTAAAAAAAAACTAAAAATTAACGTAGAAAACCCGCTCAACATCGTATGTTTCTTCTATGATGTCATTTAATTAATTCTTTAAAATAATGGACGTCACTTCCGTTTATTTTTGTTGATGTCGCTAGAAAGGCCAGACGCCTTTATTGTTTACAACTGGAAAATGACGGACATGCGGTGATTAGAATATCGCGCGATCATATAACGATCATAAATTTTGGTTGTAATTTGGGGATGACACCTACAAAAACATTTGATAAAAATCAGCAGACGAACAGAGAAAAGAAAATTTCACGATCATTAGTGGTAAAGTGGCATAAGAAATTTAGTGATGGACATTACTTTGAGAAACAGTAACCGTCATTGACTGCGTAACGTTAAAGCACAAATTGTACGTTAATATTATGACGTTGACGTCAATAATTTTTTGGAGTGCGCCGCTGTCGCCGACATGTGTTTATGTAAAATTAAATATTGTTGGAATGTAAAAAGCTACTCACATGATTTTTTCTGTGTTTATTTGTTATTAATTCTTCTAAGCAGTGTAAGAATTTCAAATTAATATCTCAAATATATTTTACGCAACAAAGAAAGTCCACGAATTTTTGGATAACCCCTCGTATGTATTCTATTTAATTGTTTAGAGAGTGTAGTATTTTTATGTACCTATTCACTACTGTAACATATTTAGTGACTTTTCTGCAGTAATTGTTCGTCAAGATTATCAATTCATTGACGGTTGAAAATGAAAGCTTCTGACATAACAATCAAACAGTCATTTTGCATATGATCATAAAAAGATACACTAAAAAGAAATGTTTTGGTAAGAGTAAGAGTTTTGGTAATAAAGATGTGTATCTTAGAGTTAACAAATTTAAAAATCGTCATTTATTTAATTTTCACTTTGAATGAAATATTCAAATAAACAAATAAGTACTGAATATTCATGTTTGTGTGGCTAGTTTGTTTGTATTCCATATCACATAGCATTATTTAAGAGCCATAAAGTTAGTTAAACACGGTAATGTATGTAAAGTATGAAGCGGTTGCAGACTAAAATTAGTTGAGAATGTTTATTAATGACATTTGTCAATGCAAGAACCTGTTTAGCACCCCCAATCCTAGCAATGGGTTAAGCAGAATAAAATATTTTAAGATAAATCATGTTATTATTGTTAAACAAACTGAATTAGAATAATCCGTCCGTTTGAGAATACCTCGACGTAAGGTTCCAAGAATGAACATTTTGTTAAATTCCGATAATACTTGGGCTTCTGCCATTTTAATAAAACACTAGCTGCTCCTACATTGATATTCCCAACAGATTCATTTACAATAAATAGCAGGACTTTAATAGTTTTTGTGTTCCAAAATATATCTTTTGCAATTTGTTTTCTTTAATGAAGTGTCTAGTCGGTATATTTACGTCTATTATCTCAGAAAAAAGATTGTTCTCTGAGGTGAAATTGTCTGCAGTTAAACTTTTATTGTTGACGTTAACATGGGTTTGCTTTTTAAGGAATAATTATATATATAGTATATAACCGAATAAACATTTGTATAAATAACTGATTTTGTCATGCGTGTGATTACTTAGATAATGTTCAACCTCTTTCATATTAATATAAAAGTTAATATTTAGTTTAGTTAAATTTTTAATTGGAAAAATATTGGACTAATGTTTTAATCATTATATCCCGGGGTTAAAAACTTAATTCCAAAAATTTAAAAAAA